ATTATCTAGTTATGTTAAAATCTATTAACTGAATTCAATAGTAGTAAATATTATTTAAATAATTAAGTAAACCATCTGAATTGTATAGTATTTACCATCCTGATGGTAACTACTACTATTATGATGGTAATCAGTAATAATAACTGTTATTATTTTAATTAGTTACTACTATTATCAAAATCGTAATTCCTAATATAACCTGATGGTTACAGTTACCATCAGTAATAATAATAACTACTATTTAAGCTAGTAAAAAATATTTAAAAAATTAAGAATCTGCGTTACTGTGGATGCATTTCTGAATAAACTTAAAGCAGCTGTAGTGCAGTGTGGTGCACAAAAAATCGGGATTAAATTTGGATAGAATTTATATTTATATTTTTATTTGTCTAAAACAAGTTTCAACGTCAAATTTTTCAAAAAAAATTTGAAATTTCCAAACAAATCAAAATTTTCAATAAAATTTAAATTAAAAAAAAAATTTTTAATCTTCAAAAAAATCAAATTTAAAGGGAATTTAAAATATTTTAATTAATATTTCAAAAAAAAATGTACATTAGCTAAAATATGAATGTAAATAAAGGATTTGATTAAGTAAACTTATATTATTTTTTCTTTTAGAGTTTTTACGATCTGAAGTGGTTACATTTACCATCTTCGATTGTAACAGTTATAATTTATAATAATTACAATTATTATTTTTGATAGTAATCGTTATCATTATTAATAGTAACTATTACAATTGTCAATGATATCACCTATTATTTTGTTACTAATTAATTTTGTTACCATTTTAGATAGTAGGAGTTACTATTTTTATAAAGTAGGTAGTATAATTAATTTTTCTCCGTGTGGGTATTTAAAAAAAAGAAACAATTTTTACCTTTTTTTTTTTGCAATTGAAAATTGATTCAACTAAACCAACGATATTATAATTAAAAGTACATCCTTTTTACTCTAAAAACCTTAAAACTCTTCAATTTTATAAAAATGAATTTTTAAAAGCTTCAAAATTTCACAACATTTCATGCAACCACTAAAAATGATAAAAAATGCGTCAAAAAAGCCTCCTATAGGACCTCAAAACGTCGAGATCTGATGAAAACTCAATTTTTTAAAAACGGGGTAAAACCAATATCTTTCCGATTTTGGAAAATTTTCAATTTTCTTAGTGGGGAAGTTAAAAAACAAATCTAAAAATTCTTCAGTTGCATACTATGTTTTGAAATGAGACAACCGTGTAAATCTAGTGACAATTGTCTGGAAGTAACATAAAAAGATAACCATTAATTATAGCGTCAATTTTTTAAATAATTTTCTACTGTGAAGAAATTGTTTCTAGTTATTTCCAAAGCCGTCATTGTTTATAGTTCCTTCGTATACTATATTAGCGTATGTTTATGATAATGGTGAATTGTCTTGATACTCAAGAGTGGGACTTCACTAGACGTATTTCCGTCAACGAAATGCTAGAATAGAGAATAGTGAGTACGGCAGAGTTCGTAAGACTTATGGAAGTTTTTGATTACACCAATTACGCGTAGCTGTAAAGCAACACGAGACATATTATAATATATATATATATATCATGTGCATTATTTCGAGGCCAATGTACTTAAGCATTGTCTAAGCAGAGTTTTAATATAAATATTACGTTATCTTCCGGTCATAAAACATTAACCAGCAAATAGTATAAAAATATCTCTTATTACTCATAAAATTTATTTTATTGTTATGCTTTATGTGTTGAAAGATTTTCTTTAAAAAATTTGTTAGAGCACGTGGTTTCCCTTATACGCGTTGGCAATTAGAGGGGTTTAGTTGTAGCAAGAGTAAGAACTCGAAGAATGAGTTTAAAGAGCTAAGCCAAAAGACTTAAAAGGAAAGTAATTAAACGCATCGAGATTCCAGTTTAAGATCGAGGTGATAGTACATTTCCGGTGAAGAAATATCAGGCAAAAACAAGAGTACGACTTGTATGTAATTATTAGTATACGTGTAAGAAAAATTGTTAACGCTTTCGATGAGTCGAGGCTTAGAAGAAAAATAAAAAAATATTAAAAGAGATTCGTGCTGAAAGATCGATAAGGTTAACGATCGCGAGATTTTAACGAGGAAATAATTTTGATTTTGAAGTATTGTAAGGGTCGTAAGAAGGAGATAAAAGTTCAGCCAACGCTTACTCTTTCTCTTATTATTTTTATATATATATATATATATATATATATATATATATATATATATATATATA